TATATATATATATATATATATATATATATATATATATATATATATATATATACTAGCTGAATTACCCGTGCCTTGCTGCGTGTCACACATTTGTTTTGTAATAAAATGATGATTGATTTTAAATCATTGTTATAATTTGTGAATGCATTTCAATATTGCTCAATGATCTTGCTAATGTGACCTCCATCTTCTAGCTTTCTCCTTCTATATTTTGAATAGGAGTCATTCCCTTGAACAAATTTAATTTAAATCAAAGGGAAAAAAATTCAGTGTAGGGCTTGAGCAAAAACAGCTTGATCTGACCCCTTTGATATGTATTTGATGCAATACTTGATTGAATGAATTGATGAGTAGATTTCAACATTGATATGACAGTTGAATTTTCGCAACAAATGTGTATTGTAAGGCACTACCCACTGATTGGTGATTTCTTGTTTAACTTGACGTCCATATTGTCTCATTTTGATCTTGCCGATGTGACCGCCATCTTCTGGCTTTCCCCTTCTATATTTTGGATAGGAGTCATTCCCTTGTTCAAATTTGAATTTAATTAAAATCAAAGGAGAAAAATAATGGAGGGTTTGTACACCCTTAGATAAAAATGAAATATACTTATACAAGTACATTGGGTAATGAAGTTTCAGGATATATATGGTTATGAGAGTCTATTTCTAAAACTCTAGGAGAAATTCAATAACAGACAGTCAAAGGCTACAACTTTATATATATATATAGATATGTATATATGTACAAATATGTAGAAAAATAGGAAATAATCCGGGGTTCTTTAGTATTTTTGTTTTTATTAAAAAAAAAAACAGTGCTCCATACAGAAGTAGGGCTTTAATTATAATTATTTTTTAAAAAATATGGTTCCTTCGCTACATAAGAGTTCTCGTGTTTCAAAAACAAGAGCCAAAAACCTCAATTTAATTATTAAAATTAAATTGAATTAAAGTATCAAGCTCTGTTTCATCCTCAAGCGAAAATTCAGGAATCCATATATACTAAATTTTCGCTTATATATATATACACACACACACACATGTGTATATATGTATATATATATATATATATATATATATATATATATATATATGAAACAATATAGTCTTAACGTGTGCTATATTTATGGGATAAAGTGCTCAATATCAGAGATAGAGCGTGTGTAAATATAAATAAAAAAGTGAACATTGAAGTCAACACTCAGATGCGACAGGCTGTTTCATAGGCACAATTGCGTCTAGCATGAAGCACCCTGTCGCTTCAATGTTCACTTTTATATTTACATATATATATATATATATATATATATATATATAAATTTCCAAGAGGATAGAATCCAGTTAGAACTCAATGTCCAGGACAGAGTGATTACGATTCCATTGTAATAAATTGTACCATGGAATATTAGTGTTTGAACCTTTTACAAATATATATAAATATAGATATATATGTCTGTGTGTGTGTCTGTCATCCGTTTATAACTTGGGACGTAGATTCCAAACACACTCCTCGACAACCAAGATTTACTTTACTACTTAGTAACTACTTAGCTATGGCGTTTAGATAGGAAATTGAAACAATGAAATTTGTTTATAACCTTGTTTAGTAGCAAATCGATTCCACTGAAGTAAAATCTGATTTTATATTTGGCTGTGAAATGGTTTATTCGCATTAAGACCACGTGAATTAATTTGTTTTAAGAGCTCTGTCTCGTATTTATACAATATGCGATAACTACGTCGCATAAACAATTCCTTGTGGAGAAAATATTTTACAGGTCTTGTACGGAAATTCCATTACTATTCTGACAGTCATGTTACTATTTCGTTATGTTTCTTTGTATTTGAATTGTTTTTACTGCATCAAAAATCTATTTGAGATTTCTGGGACAAAGACACACACACAAAAAAACAAAAAAAACAAACAAACAAGGAAGCCAGTATGAAAAACAAAAAAAATATAAATAGTTATAGAATATAGTAAAATAAAACGAGAGAAGTAAAGGTTTGGGGCTTGCCGAGAAAATCTCGTGAGAGTTTAACGAGAAATAGTGAGAAAGACATAGTAATGACAAATCAGATACGCTTCATACGCAAAAAGAAGGAAACAGAGATTAAGATAATAAATGAATGAGGTAGAAATGTAAAGAGAAGAGTGTAAGATTTTAAGAATGAGTGTGATAGAATGGACATCAGGGAGCTGGAAAAGAACGAGACAAGAACTTAGAAGAAACAAGAGATATCAATTGGGATGTAAGAATTAATATTAAAGAGTTACTGGGGAAAATGGACAAAGATGAGGAAAAGGAATGTTTCTGAAGAAGTGTCAATTAAGAGGGAAATAAAAAAGTAAAGCTTAATCAGGTTCAGTGAGAAGTGAATATGATAGAATGATGCAATTACTGAAATATACCGAGAAGGGGAGGGGAAAAATAAGATGAATTAATGAAGAGGAGTGAACGAGAAAATGAAATTTCAAGAGCGACTGCGAGAAAAAAAACAAAAATAACAAAAAACATAAGAAAGAAAAAAAGGAAGAAAGAAAGCAAAAATAACGAATGGCATAAGAAAGTGAGAAAGAAAAAAAGCAAATATAACGAAATCTTTTAAAAAAATGTAAAATAAAAAAATAACGAATAATATAAGAAAATGAGAAAGAAAGAAAGAAAGAAAGAAAGAAAGCAAAAATAACGAATGGCATAAAAAGGTGAGAAAGAAAGCAAATATAACGAAAAAAATTTTAAAAATGAGAAAGAAAGAAAAAGAAAGAAAAAATAGCGAATGACATAAGAAAGTGAGAAAAAATAAAACAAATATAACAAAAAATATAAGAAAATGAGAAAGAAAGAAAAGAAAGATAGATAGATAGAAAGAAAGAAAGCAAAAATAATGAATGACATAAGGAAGTGAGAAAGAAAGAAAGCAAATATAACGAAAAACAAGAGAATGAAAAAGAAAGAAAGCAAAAAAAAAACGAATGACAGAAAGCGACAAAGAAAGAAAACAAATATAACGAAAAACATGATAACGAAAATGATAAAGTAAGAAAGCAAAAATAACGAAAGACAAAAAATAATGAAATGAACAAAATAACGAAAAAACATAAGAAAATGAGAAGGAAAGAAAGCAAAAAATTCACATAAGAAAGTGAGAAAGAAAGAATCAAGTATAACGAAAAACAAGGAAATGAAAAAAGAAAAAGGAAGCAAAATAACGAAAGACAAGAAAGTGAGAAAAAACAAAATGAAAACATAAGAAATGAGAAGGAAAGAAAGAAAAAATAAAGGAATCACATAAGAAATGAGAAAGAAAGACAAGATAACGAAAAAAACAAAAGAAAATGAGAAAGAAAGAAAGAAAGAAAAAATAACGAAAGACAAGAAAGTGAGAAAGAAAGGGCAAATATAACGAAAAACATAAGAAAATGAGAAGGAAAGAAAGCAAAAATAAGGAATCACATAAGAAAGTGAGAAAGAAAGAATCAAGTATAACGAAAAACAAGGAAATGAGAAAGAAAGAAAGAAAGAAAGGAAGCAAAAATAACGAAAGACAAGAAAGTGAGAAAGAAAGGAAGCAAATATAACGAAAAAACATAAGAAAATGAGAAGGAAAGAAAGCAAAAAATAAGGAATCACATAAGAAAGTGAGAAAGAAAGAATCAAGTATAACGAAAAACAAGAAAATGAGAAAGAAAGAAAGAAAGGAAGCAAAAATAACGAAAGACAAGAAAGTGAGAAAGAAAGGAAGCAAATATAACGAAAAACATAAGAAAATGAGAAGGAAAGAAAGCAAAAATAAGGAATCACATAAGAAAGTGAGAAAGAAAGAATCAAGTATAACGAAAAACAAGAAAATGAGAAAGAAAGAAAGAAAGGAAGCAAAAATAACGAAAGACAAGAAAGTGAGAAAGAAAGGAAGCAAATATAACGAAAAACATAAGAAAATGAGAAGGAAAGAAAGCAAAAATAAGGAATCACATAAGAAAGTGAGAAAGAAAGAATCAAGTATAACGAAAAACAAGAAAATGAGAAAAGAAAGAAAAGAAAAGCAAAAAATAACGAAAGACAAAAAAAAAAGAAAGAAAGGAAAAATATAACGAAAAACATAAGAAAATGAAAGATAGAAAGCAAAAATAAGGAAAAACAAAAGAAAATGAAAAGAAAGAAACGAAAAAAGAAAAAGAGAAAGAAATAAAGAAAGAAAAAAAAAAATAACGAAAGAAGAAAATGAGAAAGATAGAAGGCAAATATACCGAAAAACAAAAGAAAATGAAAAAGAAAGAAAACAAAATAAGGATAAAGATAAGAAAATAAGAAAGAAAGAAAAAATGATAAGAACATAAGAAAGCGAGAAAGAAAATGAGAAAGAAAGAAAGAAAGAAGATAAAATAGTGAAAATCATAAGCATGTGATGAAGAAAGAAAACGTGGTTAAAAGAAAGAAAATAAAAATAACGTAAAACATAAAAAAGTGAGAAAGAAAGAAACTGAAGAAAAGAAAGAAAGAAACTGAGGAAAAGAAAGAAAGAACGAGAGGAAGAAGAAAGAAAGAAAGAAAGCAAACCGAAAGAAAGAAGGCATCAATAGAGAAAGGAAGAAAACAAAGTGAAAGAAATAATAAATGAAGGAAGAAAGGAAAAAAGCGAAAGCAAGAAAGAATCAATGAAGGAAGTAAAATAAACAAAAAAACAATTAAAGAAAAAAAAACAAAGAAAAATATAAGAAAGCGTAAAAGAAAGAATGAATAAATGAATGGAGAGAGGAAGGAAGAAAACAAAACAATAAAAAAACAAAGCGAAAGAAAGTAAGAATCCAATTAAAGTAAAGAAAGAAAGAAGAAAAAACAAAAGAAAAAAGAAACCAATTAAAGAAAGAAAGAAAGAAAGAAAGAAAGAAAGAATAAAATAGTGATGAGGAAAGGGAAGAAAGACAGAAAGAGTGACGAGAAAAGTCTAGAACGGAAGAAAGAATAAATGAAGGAAATAAGAATGAGAAAACTAAAGAAAGAAAGAAAGAAAGAAAGAAAGAAAGAAAGAAAGAAAGAAAGAAAGAATAAAATAGTGATGAGGAAAAAGAAGAAAGACAGAAAGAGTGACGAGAAAAGTCTAGAACGGAAGAAAGAATAAATGAAGGAAATAAGAATGAGAAAACTAAAGAAAGAAAGAAAGAAAGAAAGAAAGAATAAAATAGTGATGAGGAAAAAGAAGAAAGACAGAAAGAGTGACGAGAAAAGTCTAGAACGGAAGAAAGAATAAATGAAGGAAATAAGAATGAGAAAACTAAAGAAAGAAAAAAGAAAGAAAGAAAGAAGAAAAAGAATAAAATAGTGATGAGGAAAAAAAAGAAAGACAGAAAGAATGACGAGAAAAGTCTAGAACGGAAGAAAGAATAAATGAAGGAAATAAGAATGAGAAATTTTAAAGAAAGAAAGAAAAGAAAGAAAGAAAGAAAGAAAGAATAAAATAGTGATGAGGAAAAAGAAGAAAGACAGAAAGAGTGACGAGAAAAGTCTAGAACGGAAGAAAGAATAAATGAAGGAAATAAGAATGAGAGAAAACTAAAGAAAGAAAAAGAAAGAAAGAAAAGAAAGAAAAGAAGGAATAAAATAGTGATGAGAAAGGGAAGAAAGACAGAAAGAGGACGAGAAAAGTCTAGAACGGAAGAAAAGAATAAATGAAGGAAATAAGAATGAGAAAACTAAAGAAAGAAAGAAAGAAAAGAAAGAAAAGAAAGAAAAGAAAAGAAAGAATAAAATAGTGATGAGGAAAGGGAAGAAAGACAGAAAAGAGTGACGAGAAAAGTCTAGAACGGAAGAAAGAATAAATGAAGGAAATAAGAATAGTTGAAAAAAGAAAAAGAAAGAAAGAAAGAAAAAAGAAAGAAAAAAAAAGAAAAAACAAACAAACAAAGAAACAAAGAAAAAAAAAGCATCAGAAAGTGTAAAGGAAAGAATTAATAAATAAATGGCAGGAAGAAGGAAGGAAACAAAAACAGAGAAAGAAAACAAGGAAGAATCCAATGAAAAAGAAAGAATGTAAAACAAAAGAAAAAAAAATGAAGACTGACAGAAGGAATGGTAAAAGAGAAATAGAAAAACCAAAGAAAGAAGAAATGGTTGAGAAAAAAAGAGATTTCCAAATGAAGAAATTTCGAGAATAGCTTGAAGCCAGGCGGAAGTTTTATCAAATTTCTTCCATTTATTTTTATATTATTTCCGGCAATTTTCTCTCATTTTTTTTCCTTTTTTAGCCATTTCATTTTTTTTATTTTTATTTAATTCCATTTTTGGCGGGAGAAAATTATATTTCTCAACTTCCCTCTTCCCCTTTCTGCATATCCTTCCGCAAACCTAAATCTTTCTCCTTCTTCATTTTCCCTATACATCCCCACCGTCTCTATAAGCTACCACTGCCATCACCAGCATTGCCGCCTATTAATTTAACATCCAATGATTGATTCTAATCTCTGGGATATCGTCATTTTTACACAAGACGCCATCTTGAAATTTTGTGGCCATCTTGGGTTCTCATTACTTAAACAGTTTACAGAACTATAAACCCCACTCCGACTGCAAATGAAAAATAAATTCGAAAAAAATTGATTTAATGTGGCAGCGACAACAACACCAGCACTATTTGTGATGATAAAAAAAAATAGCAACGATAAAAATGAAACAAAAAAAATTAATAACAAAAATAATGATGGGAAATGAAGCCCCAGTAAGTAACTGACTCCACATGCTATCGTCTACCTTTACAAGAACTAGATCAGTCCAAGAATGAAGTACTGTTGTCATATTTGAAGGAGAGCTGCAAAGATAACTTTCCAAAGTCGATAGAGTCCAAAAGCGTCTCCGAGTCCTTATGAGTGAAGAATTATTATTATCCACCTTCTAACCTCTCTTTCACAGGCGAGATGTTGCAAGACTCTTTCTGTTCTGTCGTTACTTCCATGGAAAATGCTCTGAAGAGCAGCATTCCTTGGTTCCACCAGTTTTAACCTTCACGGCAAAGACACGCCATAGTAACAAACCACCCACATTCCCTCCGTATTCCATCAGTGAGAAGTTCCACCCCAAGAGCTTCTTCCAGCGAACCACTGTTCTATGGAACCGACTCTCAAGAGGATTTTCCTTCGATTACTACAATATTAAGCTATTCAAATCTAGGGTTAACCGTTAAAAACCCGTACAAATTACCTCCAAATGTAACAATCTACCTCGTGTGGCCTCCTTTCTAACTTTCTTATGCTTTCTTTCTTTCTAATTTTCTCTCTCACTATGTTTTTGGTTATTTTTTATTTATTATTTTTTTCCTCTCTTCTTCTTTTCATTCTTTCTTTCTTTTTTTTTTCATTTTTTTCTTTCTTATTTTTTCATGTTTTGTTTTTTTTTTGTTATCTTTCTTTCTAAGTTTCTTTATTTCTCACTTTGGTATGTTTTTCTTAATTTTTGTTTTCTTTCTTTCTCTTTTTCTTTCTTTCTCATTTTCTTTCTTTCTCGTTGTTTTATGTTTTTCGTTATTTTTGTTTGCTATATTTCCTTCCGATATTCTTTCCTAATTATGCCTATCGATATTTTTGTTTTCTTTCTTTCTATCTTTCATTCTTTCTCATTTTCTTTCGTTCTTTCTTTCTTATTTTCCTTCTTTCTTATTTTCCTTCTTTCTTATTTGCTTTCATCCTTTCTTTTCCATTTTCTTTCGTTCTTTCTTTCTCATTTTCTTTCGTTCTTTCTCATTTTCTTGTGTCTCGTAATTTTTTTCTTCCTTTCTCATTTTCCTTCTTTCTCTTTTTCCTTCTTTCTCATTTTCCTTCTTTCTTTTTTTCCTTCTTTCATTTTTTCCTTTCTCATTTTCCTTTCTTCTCATTTTCCTTTTTTTTTTTTTTTTCTTTCTCATTTTCCTTCTTTTCTTTTTTCTTCTCATTTTCTTCTTTCATTTTTCCTTCTTTCTCATTTTCCTTCTTTCTCATTTTCTTCCTTCTTTTTTTTCCTTCTTTCTCATTTTCCTTCTTTCTCATTTTTCTTGTGTCTTTTCCTATTTTTTTTTCCTTTTCTTTTTTCCTTCTTTCTCATTTTCCTTCATTTTCCTTCTTTCTCTTTTTTTTCTTTTTTTTCTTTTTCCTTCTTTTCATTTTCTTCTTTTTTTTTTTGTGTCTTTCTTTTTTTTTTTCTTTCTCATTTTCCTTCTTTTCTCATTTTCCTTCTTTCTCTTTTTTTCTTTTTGTTTTCGTTATTTTTTTCTTTCCTTCTTTTTTTTTTCTTCTTTCTCATTTTCCTTCTTTCTCTTTTTCCTTCTTTCTCTTTTTCCTTCTTTCTCTTTTTCCTTCTTTCTTTTTTTCCTTCTTTCTCATTTTCCTTCTTTCTCATTTCTTTCTTTCTCATTTTCCTTCTTTCTCTTTTTCCTTCTTTCTCATTTTCCTTCTTTCTCATTTTCTTGTGTCTCGTTATTTTTTTCTTCCTTTCTCATTTTCCTTCTTTCTCTTTTTCCTTCTTTCTCTTTTTCCTTCTTTCTCATTTTCTTTCGTTCTTTCTCATTTTCTTGTGTCTCGTTATTTTTGTTTTGTTTTCTTTCTTTTTTTTCTCATTTTCTTTCTTTCGCATTTTCTTTCGTTCTTTCTCATTTTTCTTACGTTCTTTCTTACTCATTTTCTTTCTTTCCTTCTCATTTTCTTTCTTTCTCATTTTCTTTCGTTCTTTCTTTCTTATTTTCTTTCATTCTTTCTTTCTAGGAAAAAAAAGTTTATTGAGATATACACCATTGACAAAAAAATGTTGGTTTAGAATGAAATCTAATTTTCTTTAAAAGATATCATATATAACTTTTTATTTATTTACTAGCAGCATGGTCCGGCGTTGTCCGTGCTTGATTAAAAAATCGTACGACTCATACAGCAATCGCTATCACGTGACTTAAAATATTTTTGCCCTTCCTTGCCTTTAAAGGGGTGCCCTTTGCAGTGCTGATGTTGCTACATGCCTTACTTATTGCCTATCTCACACTGCGATTTTTTTCTAAGCTCTATACTAAACATTAAATCTGTTACGAAAAAAGAACTAAACAAAATGAAAACAAAACGATCAGCTTTAAAAAAGGACTCGTAACTGGAAAAACCGAATGAAAAAAGAATGTTAACAACAAATACTTTTTCACACCCAACCCAGTTCTGCGGAATCAGAATCAACGTTGAGTTTAAGCAAGCGAATGAGCCAATTGGAGTAAAGTGCCATGCAGATTTAAATTTTTCCCACTTGTGACGAATGCAGCTATCGATTTAAAAAAAATTTTTTTTTCTTGCTGGCATGCTAGTTAACATTCGTGTCAGTCAGCTGTTGGCTCTCACTCTGGCCAGTAGAAAATGGCCGCAAACTAGCTGAAAAGTGCCGTAGAAGTATGAAAAAATCGATTATTTCCACTATCGATGGGAGTTGGGAAATGCAAAGTCGGTCTTGGCCTTGCCGCTAACTTGGAGCATGTGCATGTAAATTTTGGTGCAAATCCGTCGAAAATTGCGGCCGTGCATTCTTTACACATACATCCTGCCTTTTATAGATAGAGATTTTTAATATTAGCAAAAGTAGTATATTGTTTTACCTCCATTTGTTAATATACATTTATATGGTTATCATTTATGATAAACAATTATAATAAAATCAAATATGGTTAGATATGGGCACACCGTTTTATATCAACTTTTAAAAACAGAATTTAATAACTAGAATCTTATGCTGTGACCATGTCATTTTTATCGGTACCATCATTACCTGTGTCATTAGTACCGTTAACAATTCCCTCCACCGTTTGATATCAACCCCAGGTAATGTTGTGGTCTTGAGAAGCCGCATTCTACAGATTTCTGTCTCGAGGGTCTTCTTCCTGCTTAGTTTCTCAAACATTTTCTGAAATCTGTGATCATTATTAATATTAATTTTAAAAAAATTCTCAGATACTCAGACCGGTAAATGTTGTTAATACTGTTTGCTATGAACGGAGCATTTACATAAATATTTGTGTCTATATAAATAACGTATAACAATAAGACATCTTAAAATAATTGTCGGAATTTGTTCATTTCGTAGTGTGTGACGTATATATATATATATATATATATATATATATATATATATATATATATATGCATTTAACACTTTAGAAAAAGTTCCTTGAAATTGAAAATTCCTTGCCAAGAAGCTGATCAATACGAACCAAACGACCTCATTGCAAATACAAAATAATTGCAAAATTGGCAAAGATAAGGAGAGTCACATTTTTAAGCGCCAAATCGATGCCCCCGACTGAAAAGATTATCCAAAAACTAAATGATTAGGCAATACGAAATAATCTCGTCTTCGTTTATGAATGGATAAGCCTGAGTCAAAAATACACAGGAAGTACGATAGAGAAAAATACAAAAAAAAAAATGCTTACAATTTCTCATTTCTATGCATGTTTATCTGAATTGCAATCGACCACAACATTTTTTTTTCTTTTTAAATATTGCCATTTGGTGAACGCCTTTCCGTTAACAGATCACGCAGAATTGACCAATTCTTTCATGGTAGGGTTTTTCTTTTAACAGTGGAATAGATAAGATATCACTAATTTTTTTCCTAAGTCTTTACCTTCATCCACATTGTTTCTCAAATTCTTTACCCACTTCTGATCTCTGCTCTTTCCAACGTGCCTAAACATTGTTCCTTCTACAGTTTTCCTTCATTGAAAGACTATTAAGATTTCCTTTATCGTCAGCAAGATGGTGTAGCTGAAAAAATAATTAAAAGGAAAAAAGGCATATTCCCGAGTTGATCTAATTTACCAAGCTATTATTTTAGAGTGAGCGAAAAAAAAAAAACAGAAGTGACTTGTATACAAGAAAGTGATGAAGGTTTCGCTATCTTTTAAAACAAGTATCGTTATCTGACTTCTATTATTTATTACTTTGTGGAGGACTTGTTATGTTGGGTCTCATAATTGAAAGAATAAATTTGGGCTGCGTGTTCAAAGACATATATCCTCAATACATTTATATTATACTTCAACGAAAATAAACAGAAAAGCCTAGAACAATACTGACAAAAGACAAAGGCATTTATATTGAATAACAATCAATTTTCATTCATATTGTATGAAGATTACAATATGTCTTGTAATAAGCATAGAGTTTTTATTTAAATTTCGTATTGTTTGTTAGTTTTGATTAATGTTAAACTCTATATATATGTGTGAGTGTGTGAATGATGCTTGTGAGTTTAAATGAGAGGTTAAGTGTTGCAAAATTTGTGATAAAAGTTTCACAAAGTAGTATGTAGTAATAAACTGTTGATAAGAAAATTAAACAGCTTGTGTCAAATAATAAATTCACATTAAATCTGTGTAAATTTAGTT